TCCTATGAATTTTTATAAGATGCATATGAGTGAAGACAAAACATACTAGAAAGTAGAAGTGTTTTACTTAACCAATTCCTATGAATTTTTATAAGATGTATATGAGTGAAGACAAAACATACTAGAAATACTCATGTTAGTCTGTCGGAATAGTTTTCATTCTTAAGAAGTGAGGAGTAGGTACGTATCGTGATCATCAAATACCGAATCTAAATTTTAAGTCTTGATTCAAATTTTTGACATGAGACGTTACATGTATACTCTAAGTCAATAATGATATAATCACGTGACATTGAAAAAATATCTAATAATCTTTTAATATATATGAAATAAATATATTATGATATCACTTTTATTCTTAAACTTTTGTCCATTCAACGATAATGGTGGACCAATTTGAGAATCCAACTTTATACAAAGAGTAATTTCATTTCTCTTCCTAAATCATAATCATTTTGAAAAAAAAAAAAATCAATTTTCATGTTATATTAACATTTAATACTTTAATTTCATCCATATAGATAAATGTATTAATAATTATTAACTCTAAAAAATTTAGTAATTTTAATCATATAATAAAAAATATTATCATGGGTATTTAATAAGTTACAAAACATATGTATGAAATTTATTAAATTAAGATAAAACTCAGTTGAATTAAAAAATTGGGATAAAGTTATTGAATGGCTATTATATACATTGATCAAATTTAATTAAGTTGATTTTTTTGAAATTAATAAATTTAATGAAGGTTTTAAAGTTAGTGTGTGAATTAGTAAAATAAATATATTATTAATTATAATTTCATATATAAAGTTAAAAATTAGTTTGTATAATTTTAACCATTCTTATTTTGTTTTATCTGCTGTGATTTTGAAAGTTCCTATTTGGCGACGCGTCGTCGATCAGCTACCGGAAGAACATAAATTTTGGAGGGAGAATCGTTTCCAATCTCCCCTTCTGGTTTCGACATAACAACCAATTTCTTCTACTTTTCAACGACTCTGCAATTCTGAAACCCATGCTTTTTTTTCCCGGAATTTCCAACTAGTTTGCCCGCCGGTTCCATTGTTTCTGGTAAGGTTAATAGGCTAGCCTTCTTTTATCGTTTTCTCTGTTTGGTTCTCCTGTCGTTATTCATAATTTGTTCCTCTCCAACCTCACTGGGATAGAAGTTTATTCATCTTTTGTGTTTTGCTATGGAATTCTGAGTACAAGTTTTATTTGGTGGGTGTTAGTTTCCGTCTCGTTCTCTTGATTGGAGATGTTGAAGTTCGGCATAATCTAGTCTCAATCGGTGTAGAAGTGATGAAATCTGGTTGACATTTGCTATTTTTGAATAATTACTTGTTTTGGTATGTGTTTCGTGTAAACGTAAACGTTTCTACTAAAATCAGGATTAAGAACTTTCGGAGTTATCTTTAAGATCGTCCTTCTCCTTGTTGCGGGGCTCAGTAAATGGTTCATTCATTGGCTTAGGGTTGTTTTTTATTTTGATCCCTCTTTATAAGCTTGGCACAGACGCTGATTTCTTGTTTAGAAGTTGCGGATCAACTGGGTCAACGTTGTTAGTACTGATCTTCTACGCATTGTATTGATCTGGATTCTTTTGAAACGCTGACCGATAGGCCTGATCTAAATTAACCAGTGCCTATGAATTAACTTATTGGAGGAATATCATTGAAGGGAAGCAACTTTTGGGTTTTATTTATTTTTGTAGTTTAGGAGATGAATACCTCGTGAAAGCCCTGGAAATTGATTATCTTATCCTCGATTGAAGTAGAATTCCACCATCTATGCAAAAGGAGTCTTGGAGCAAGGGAGTTGAAGAATCTATTTTTCTATCATATATCGTGAGAAAAGCTGTGAGAATATTTATGAAGGATCCTCTTGTGGTATGAAGGTTCATGGTTGAGAAGTCAATGGACAAAGGCTAGCAGGAAATATTGGTGAAAAAGAAACGACATAGAATTTTTGGCCGGATGTTGCATTGCGATGGGTAAATGTAACAGCCCAAACCCACCGCTAGCAGATATTGTCCTCTTTGGGTTTTCCTTTTCGGGCTTCCCCTCAAGGTGTTTGAAATACGTTTGCTAGGGAGAGGTTTTCACACTCTTGTAAAGAATGCTTTGTTCTCCTCCCCAACCGATGTAGGATCTCACAATCCACCCCCCTTCAAGGCTCAGTGTCCTCACTGACACTCGTTCCCTTCTCCAATCGATGTGGGACCCCCAGTCCACCCCCTTTGGGGCCCAACGTCCTTGTTGACACACTACCTCATGTTCACTCTCCCTTCGGCCTTCCCTTCAAGGTTTTTAAAATGCGTCTGCTAGGGAGAGGTTTCCATACTCTTATAAAAAATTCTTTGTTCTCCTTCCCAACTGATGTGGGACCTCACAATAAATGAAGGTATATAGATCAATTGTGAAATTAGTGTGAGGTTTTGGTTGGTCAGAAGGCGAGTCTAGGCATACAATATTGTGGGATGAAGGGAAGATTAAAGTGCCAGAGGTAAGTGCACATTCTCTCTCTCATTAAAGTTACAATTGAGAGATGAGCTGGATACATGGATTAATCAACATCTATAGTCTGTTTAACCATTGAGATATGGGAGAATTGTGAGAAGCAGATACGGCAATAGTCAATAGGAGGTGGTGTTGAATTGGTAATTGTAATGAAACTGTATAGTCTGATTAAAAATCAAATGTGGAAGATAAACAAGAAGCATGCAACTATTTTATAATTTGATTGAAGATTTGTAGTTACACAAAAGTCCTATTGTCGATATTTATGCGGTTAAACTTAAGAGAATTTGGCGCAACCACTTACTGACACATAGTATCCTGGAAGAAGGTAGCTAGATTTCTGGATGCCAAATGGGTGCAGAAGGCGAGAATAGTTCTTGACCATTCCCATTTTTTTTAGAAATTGGATCTTAAACTTGGGGGGATCTTTTTCATCTAGGATGGAACACTTTTGGACATTAAATGGAGAAGAATGCAAGAATAAATCTTGATTATTCTCAAAATTTGTATGCAAATTGGATCTTCAGATCGGAGAACTTTTTCTTTCAAGATACAAAAATTTTGGACTTTGCATCCTGGTTTAGAAAAAATTGAGGAGGAATATTCGGTAGCATATAATTCAGAAGAAAGACTTAGTTGAGAAAAAAATCTGTTTTTTGGCCATGACCGGAGGTGGAACCAAATAGTTCCTCTGGATAGATGAATGGAATAGATTATGAAGTTTAAAGGACTACTTCCATAGACTTTTTGCTCAATCTTTGCAAAACAGGCTAAAACTAAGAGCGTGTGGGGTCAACAAGCTCACAATTGGCACCTTTTATTTTAGTTACCCTTTCTTGATAGAGAATTGGAAGATTGAGAGATCCTTGTGAACCTAGTTAGCAATAAGCATCAATTTCACGTGATTGACCAAAGATTTTGGTCGATCACAGAAGCAATTCTTCTTTGATAATTACTTATTTTCCACTCTAATTGCGGTTGCCCTCTTTCTTTACATTTTAAATGTTATTAGGAAGAAACATTTGGCCAAGAAATTCAAGGTTTGTTTAATATGGCACAAAATTTAGAACCTAGTTTTGATTTTAGAATGATTGATCTTCTAATAATTTCTTTTTTCTTTTTATTCAAGATTTTATAGGGACATATATACACCATTGGAAGTCTAAATAGTTGAAATAATATAGAAGTAAAGGTAAATACTTTGAATAATATAGACGTAAAGGTAAATACTTTGAATAATATAGAAGTAAGGACATAAGAGGGTCATTGTTCACCTCGAGGTATGGGCGAGCTATGTGGATTTGTCTTCCAAATGTAAGAGACAGACACGTCCTCCCACTTTATCTAAGTTGTAATACCTAACATCTTTTTCCTATCCGAACAACTATTCTTGAAGAAAATACACACCGTGAATGTTGTCTCCTTTATTCAAGCCTATTGCATGCTAAAGACCTGACCATTGACTTTTGCAACTGCTTTGACCTTCCACTTTGATGACCCCACTCACCTAGACGTCTTCATCAATTCATTTGAGCGTCTCACAATTGAGGTTCATGAAAATCATCAACTTTCTCTCTCAAACTTCTAAATTGCTTTTGAATTGATGGATCTTGATTTGATTGATCGAAATTAGTTGTCTTTTATGAGATCCCACATCGGTGAAAGAAGAGAACGAAACATTCCTTATAAGCGTGAGAAAACCTCTTCCTAGTAGTCACATTTTAAAACCGTGAGGCTGACAGTGATACGTAACGGACCAAAGCGGACAATATTTGCTAGCAGTGGGCTTGTGTTGCTACAAATGGTATCAGAGCTAGTCACCGTGCAATGTGCTAGCAAGGACGGTGGGCCCCCAAGGGGGGGTGGATTGTGAGATCCCACATTGGTTGGAGAGGGGAGCGAAGCATTCCTTATAAGGGTGTGGAAACCTCTCCCTAGTAGACACATTTTAAAACCGTGAGGCTAACAATGATACATAACAGGCCAAAACGGACAATATTTGCTAGCGGTGGACTTGAGCTGTTACATCTTTGTTGTTGGCTCAACTATACCTCTACCACTACCATTTGCAGCTTTAACAAGCATCCACCGTCTCTTTGAATCTCCGACAGCATTCCATATACGTTTGTACGATGTAGATTTTTTGTCGCCATCTGCCATTCCTTAGGAACCTAAACTGTGCTTACACTAGCGTCTACCAAACTCACACCTACAACCTTCATTAGCTAACTTGCTAATATAAGATAAGATTCATCTTAACTGTGTCCACATTCACTCTGTCTTCAGATTGACATTCCCAATCCCAGTGGGGTTAGAGGTTCTACCATTCCCCATCCTCACTAGGCCATGATGTCCTTCTGTGAAAGATGTTAACAAACTCCTATCTAAAGCTATGTGTACAGTAGCTGCACTGTAATCATCATTCTAATAAGTGGCTACAAGTATAAGTGGCTACAAGTATTTGGATATCAATTTCCATCCTAAACTTTGCAAAAAAGACTTCAATCCATGTCTTTGTTACACACCTTGATTTGAGGAATAGGGTTAGGGACAGGGAATACTTGCTTATGGATTGGCATTCTCTCTAGGGAAAAATATCCATCTATTATATATACATAACGTAACTACTTTAAGTGAAAAATAATTAAATATGATTGTTTAAAAGCTTTAAATTGCTTTTTATGAATTTGATTTGGGTGATTCAAGCCAGTAGTTGATGAAATCTCTTGCTACCAAGCTTGGTGGTACTCTTATAGCCATATTGTGTATCTTCTTGGGTGGTTTGGAAGGATGAAATCCCACAAAGTGTAAAGTCTTCGGTAAACCCTTTTCCTTGGTGGTGTTAATTCTTCAGAGGAAATCCAGAAGAAAGCGATCCCCCATAGGTGGTATGTTTCTGCAAAAGGGCTAACAAAGATGTTTAGTAACTTCACTTGTTTTTACGTTCTCCTATCCCCTTTTGTGGTGGACGTTCTTTTATTTTTTTGACTGTGATGGAGCTTTTCTTAGCTTACCAAGTAAGCCGCCTCTCTTCTTACTTGGCTGCCTGTTTAAAAAGATGGATAGAATCCTTTAGTGTAACACCTTTCTAGCCAACCTCTGTGCTTTTGGCTGGCATTAAATCATAGAATTTTTAGGATGATGAAAGACCTTTAAAGAAAATTTGGGACTATCTTTCTTTAAGTTGGTCTAGCCCTCCTATTTTTTTTATTATATATATACTTGTTATTATTGCATTTCTTCCATTGTAACCAATTGTAACCCTTTTGTACATTCATCTTATCAATGAAATTGATGCATAAAAGGAGTTGTTTAATGGGCGTGGTAAGAAAGAAATAGAAGAGTTTGTGTAGCTGAGGAAAAAGTTTTGGATGTTATTTGGGACAAACTGTGTTTTTGTTTCTTCTTCTTGGAATGCTACCCATAAAGAGTTTAATGATTAGGGTCTTCTTCAAGGTGTTCTAATCGGGAAGGTTTCTGTTGTTATTTTTTACTTTTGTAGGCATCGTAATATTTCATTCTTGGGTTGAAATTTGTTATATGTATGTATATATATATATAATGATACAGCCGCTGTGAGATCAGTATTGATTTGATATTTCAATATTTAATTCTGTTTAGAAACTTCAGTTTATATGCTGTTCTAACACTTGTTTGTTGCGGTTGTAACAGTAATAGAGATCTGGTAGATTTTTTCATCATTCTTAACAAATCTCTTGCAAAGTTCAAGATGTGCCATGATAACTTCCACGTTCATTCCTTAGAAGAGGCAACTACAGCTGAAGATAGTCTCCTAATATATTGCAAACCAGTTGAACTATATAACATTCTTCATCTTCGTTCCCTTAACAATGTAATGTGATGCCTCTCCTTGTGTCAAATCGCTTATTACTCCATACTCTATTTTCTTGCGGATCAGCTTCCTTGATGCTTTTTAATGGACAAAAATTTCTTTAGTTATTTGCAATGAATTGAAAATGTTTTTTTTTTTTTTTTTTTTTTAAAGAAATATAATGAATTGAATGCTTTTGTAAGTAAAATATTCACATGCTTTAAATCATGAGGCCCTTTAGTTCGCAATGTACTCCAAAGTTCATTTTTTTCCAAAACATAATTTTACGTACTCATTTGTAACATTAACTCAATTTTATAAGTTCTGATGAAATTAATTCCTCTGTTGCAGCCTTCTTTTCTTCGACGTTGTTTGCATTACAAACTACAAGCTAGGCGAAAAAAGAGGTTAGTTATTCATTTTCATATTAAATAAAAGGAGCAACCTCTGGCAGATGGCTGTCATCATTTTAAGTTTAGTCTGGATTCAATACTTTTTAGCCATTATTCTTTAGCTATAGGAGACCTCTAAATTTGATGACAAAGATGTTTATTTTAGTTTGAGCCCGCCTATATTACTGATGTATAGGATATTAAATATGAACTTTGTCATATTTTATATTTCATTATGTTATTTACTCAGGAGGAGATATGTTATTGACTCTGGAGGAAATATATGAAATGACTATCCGTTTGGTAGTCATGTTAAGAAAAAATTTTCTATTCCAGAAAAAAAAAAAAAAAATGATGAATAAAACTTATTTTGCCGGTAATTTTCTTAAAGCGCTTTTCTATATGAAAGTAGCATTTTTCTGTTTTTGTGTTTCTGTTCAACTGGTTGTTTCATATATGATCATTTTCTTTTGTTTTTTTTTTTGAAGCATATCTGACTTAAATATGTATAATTGTACAATAATATAGAGATTAAATAGATAAACTCATAAGAACAAAGATACTTTTCCAAATAGTTTTTAGAATTTAAACAATAGAAAATAGTTTTAAGTAGTTAATCTATTAAACATTTTTAATAAAAAGTATACTCGAATGGTCTCTTATGTTTCATCAGTTGGTAAGAACAACATGTTCATGAAACATCAAAGTGGTTTCACAATAACGCCATTGGCTCATGTTTTGCATTAGGCTCACAAATGACAGCTGCAGATTTATTTGCCAACTAAATTACATGAGAATGAAATTGTTCTTTTGTGCCCTTATCATTTCTGGTATTATATTTCAATGTGGTTTTCATTTAAATCCAATGGGTGCGTGATGGATATTTTTGGCCTTATGTACAGGGTGAGCACTGGAGTTGTAATTTTCAACTATAGGGACTACAACAACATAGTACGAAAAACTGAAGGTCTCTCCCTGCCTTTCTTTATAGTGATATATTGAATGTTTTCATCTTTTAAATGCCTTTGATAGAGCTAATTTCTTGCAATAGGTTTAAACCCTATTGACATGCCATGCCTTTAGAAAGACAACTTTTTATTCATTTATGGTTTTATGTGCTGAAATAGTCGCCATAAATCTGTTGATTGTATGTTCTATGCAAGCATATAATCAATTATATTGCTATTAATTGTGTTTTTTATGTGTAATTTTTTAAAACCATTTTTTATTATTTTTATGTTTAAATTTAAACTTTGGATAGATATTTTTTTTACTTTATTTATTTTATCCTCATTAATTTAAAAATATGAAGTATAATGCACAAACCAAATTATACTTAAAAAAAGAATTTTAAAAAAAATTGTATATGAATGGTACATTCAACAAAAGATGAAAAATAAAATACATGGAGACAATAAAGTATTGTTTTGTGAAGTCTAAATATTTCTGTAGTTACTCTTTTTCTTACATACAAACCCATTGGAGAGTATCCTGACCCCCTAAACTTTTCAACTTGGAAGATGCTTGTTTCTTATTAAAACAAATAATCTTTGTTATTTGTTTTTCCTTTCCAGAAAACCATTTTTTAAAATTGTTCTATTAAGTGAGTTTTTTTTTTAAAAAAAAAAAATTAAAAAACTATTTAATTTTTGAAGCAGAACACCATTTTAAACATGATTTTCAAATATATCCTTGTTCTATGACTACAGCCTTCTGATGATTATTAATCATTGGAAGGTTCTCCTTTGTTAGTTTTATGGGGAGGGTTATCTCTACCCTTTTTCCTTAGACTATTCTTTGATTCTTTTGTGGAATGTACATCTCCCCATTTCTTATGAAATTAGAAATACTAAGTCAGGACAGAGTAGTATGCAAAGAAAAGCAAGTTGCCAGCTCCACAATTTTTTACTAATTTTAAAGGTGATGCTTAATGTAATTTACATGCATGCATGAGAATATGTGCTTACTGTAAAAATCAAGGTTTTTATTCCAAAATGGACATTTATATTGAAATTTCCCCTTTTGCCTACGTGTGTAGCATTAATTATTATATTTCTTCAATTGAGTTGTAAAATAAGTAATAGCTTTGAACCAAAAATAAAAAATAAAATAAAAAAAAAATAAAGAGAAAAGGAAGAAAGAAGGAATAGTTAACTATACATCCTACCATTAACTTGATGCGGCTGTTGTAACTAAAAGGACCTGTATAATTAGAGCTTACTACGTGCGTTGTATTGATTTATTAGATATCTACAATTGAGCTATACAATAAGTAGTAGTTAGTTATAGTTTTATAGGTCGTTCCATCCACATTGATGCTGACTGTTGTAACTAAGAATAATTATAGCTAATAATATCTATAGACAATAAGTTCCATTACTTCTTGGAGAAGTATGTGTATATATATATATGTATATTTATCTGTAAAGACTTGTAGTTTCCTTTTAAATATAAGATAATCTAACAAAAATGTATAAGTATGTCTTGTAAATCATTTGCTGTACTGATATCTATGTAACTCCCATATTTTGATTAAGAGATGGAAGAGGTATTTATTCTTTTCATTTTTTTCAGTCACTCCTATTTTCCCAAATTCCTCTTCTCCATGGGCATATGTGAGGATGTTTCGTGATTGGATATATGTTATGTTACTCATTATGATATTTTAATTGTCATTCCAAGATGATTGCAATGTTTTTGACCTTGAACCACTAATATCTACTTACAAGTCTGTCTAACACATTTTTTTTTTGTAAAGACCTCTATCTTGTTCTTTGAACGTATAGTTTTGATCCCAATTCTCTAATCATGTAGTGACTGAAGACTTCTCATGCCCATTTTGTTTGATGCTATGCGCAAGCTTTAAGGTAGGGATTCAGACTCTATGATATTCCTTAAATGTGAAGTTAAGGTTTTTGTTTCTTGACCATTTTTTGTTTTTTAAAAGTTATTGGGTTGAAATTCATATGGAAGTTTCTAAAGAAATCATTTTCATAGCAAATATGCCTTTATCTAATTTTTTCCTTTTATTTATATGCTATTACGATTGTCTTCTTTCAATCATAATGCTAAGGGAATTTATTGGGTTGATGGCCTGGATCAATCTTGTTTCGAAAATTTAGGTGGAAAGCTTAATAATATAAATTCCTTGATATCTCTGAGAGTTGGCATTTGAGCACGCTTATTTTCCATGGAGTAGTGGAATATATGTATCAAGAATGATGCCATCTGCATACGGGCATTCGGCATGAGATGGGAGGGTTCAAGAATATGGGTTTTCGGTATCTTATTCTTATGGGCTTTAGATATCTTGGTATCCCTATCCCTCAGAATATCCTAAATCGGGAGGGGTAGTTCATGTTCCTCAATTATGTTGGTTTCTTGAGTTACCATAACCCAGGAGTGATTGAGGTGATATTTTAACCATTCTAGAAACTTTTTACGTGCAGGTGCCGTATTTTTAACCCATGTTTTTAAATTCTAAAGCTTCCTTTGATTACAAATGTTTTGTTTTAAAAGTTAATTTTTTTAAAAAAAATTTAGCCACATAAGTTTTTAAAACTAATTTTTTCATTTAAAAATTTGGTCTAGATTTCACCAACATATAAAATTTACATGATTCATTTTAATTGTATTAACATAAATAGTTTTTTAAAAATTTAATAAAACTAATAAGGTATTGGCCAACTGCCATTATATGGGATGCGTTTGGAATTCAAAAGTTTATAGAGGACAATAGGTCTAAAAATGATTCTCAACTACCTCACCTTTTAATATAATAAGATATAGATAAAGATAGCCCTGAAGGGGTGACGCTATTGGCGAAGGCCTTCGGTCTTTGAGTAACATCTACCCAATGGTAGCATGTTTGAATCTTTAAGTGGGTTTAATAAGGAAAATTCTTCATGTTTCTTCTTAATTTTCAAGGAGGTACATGTGTCTTTTATGATAAAGAAAGGCTAGCTAAATACCTATATGTTAGGTAACAATATAATGACCTAGATATAAGGTAACAATACAGAAACCTTAGATATTAGGTAACAATGTAGATACAATTAAGGTTATGATTTACATAGATATAATTATAGTCATTCCTTCAACACTCTCTGTCAAGCTACGGAATAGAATAGATAGGATTATGTGCAATAGTGATCATACGACTTAAATGTCAAGGCACGGCTTCAAAGGTAGCTATGAAGGCTTTGAATAAATTTGGTCAAGGTAGAAGATGTGCTGTGAAGGCTTCAAATAAGTTTTGTCAAGGTGAAAGATCGGTAGTTATGAAGACTTTGAATAAATTTAGTCAAGGTAGAAGATCGGTAGCTATGAAGGCTCCGAATAAATTTACTCAAGGTGGAAGATTGGTAACTACAAAGGTTCCAAATAAATTTGGTCAAGGTGGAAGATTGGTAGCTATGAAGGCTACCTCGATTAATCACACCTCCTGGAATAGAATGATTTTGATACCATGTTACATGTGTAAATTTTCTTACTCAAGTTTCTTCCTAATTTGTAGGGGGTAAATGTGCCTTTTATAATAAAGAAACTTAGATACTTAGATGTTAGGGAACAATACAAAATCTCTAGATATAGGTAACAATATAGATAAAATTAAGGCTAGGATTTACATAGATATAATTAAGATCATTCTTTCAATAGTTTCTACTTGTAGAATAATTTTCAAGATAAAGATAGAGATTATTTTTTTTATTTTCTTACCATGTTGGTAAATTGATTTTGAATTTATTCAAAACAGTGATTTACGCATTATAGGACAGTTACTTTGGCCCTTCAACTACCCATTTAAATTTTTAAAAGTTCTATTTGAGAATTTAAACTCTCATCTAAAATTTCTTTTATTTCACTCAGTTCAAACATTCACCAAATAATCAGAAAGCAGCATGCTATAATAGCCCTTCCCTTGTCCCAAAAGGGCGTGTTAAGTATCATTTCCTACATCAGGAGACTCAAGATCTGTTACAAGCTAGAAACATACCACACGTTATTAAAGATATATCTGAACTGAAACTTGAAACTTCTACTCCATTGCGTACAATCCGAATCCTCAAAATTACATTTATTTGTGGAAAATATCTAGACATTGTTGTCCTAATGGGCGTTTTTATAGATTACCTTCGGTCACATTTCAATTTAAAAGGAGCAGCTACCTTTATACATACATAGTTTTAGGTACTCGTGTGTCTAACTACTGTGGTTAATTAATAACTCTCCAATAATTTAGTTCTTACGATAACTGCTAACTGACCTAACTGACCTAACTGAATGAGCTGATTAACTGAAAATTTACAGAAATTAATGCTTTACCACCAGGCATTGTGTAGTACAAATGTAGATATTCTATATTCGTACTGCTCATTTTGACATTTTTCATCAAGTTTGTTGCTGAGTTTTAGAATCAAATTATTATCATTTTTTTATATTTCCTTTGTTGTACTTGTTTGTGTTGATAATATGTATTTGTATAGCATAATTTTAGCTGGGTCATATCATAGAGATAAATCATATAATTTGAAGATTTAGTTGCCTGTTTGGTGGCATACTTGATTGATCCTTTGTGCTTATCTTTTAGGGTTTGCGGTACCACTTAGGCTCTTCCCATGATATGTTCAACTTCGAATACTGGGTTGGTAATCTCCAATGTCTAGATGTTTGCTGCTTATCGAGCCATTATGCGGTTTGTGAAGAAACATTTAACGTGTAGGTGACTGAAGAATATCAGGCAGTGAATGTCTCTGTGAAAATTGATGTCTTTAGACCTGAGGTAAGAGTTTGGAATTCTTATTTTGTGGACAAATCTCTTTGGCAACTTTGCTTTTCTTATTGCTATCATAACAAGGCAACTACCTCATGTTCTTTCTTTCCTCTCATCTTTTGCTCGTTTTGTCTCTTCACTCCATCTTTTAGCTCATGCCATGGCATTTTATGCTAGTTAATTAGCAATTTCATTGGATTATCGTGCCAAACCCTCCTCTTGAAGGCTGGTAGTATGTTTTCTTTGCAGACTGTAGCAGATGGGGTGGACCCACAACTTCAAACTTTCTTCTTGTGGTATGTTTTTTAAACATCATCGTATGAATTCATCTTTTTAGTGCCTTTCCTTATTCTATTGAAATATTTGGCACTCTAATACAGCACAAGACCACGAAGCCGTAAGTTGAAGAACTCTGTTCAGAGTGGGAAATATGTGCAGTTCTTGGAGATGGACTCAGCTAGACCTTCCACAGAAGGCATGCCTAAGGGATTTATTGAGCATAACGCTGGTAATTTTTTTCCGATCCAATGTAAGAATTTTATTTTTCCTTTTTCAGTCCTTTAAAGTTATTTCCTTTAAGATAGAGGAAAAGGGAATGATATAATTCTTTCTTATGTCCTACTAACAGAAGTGGCAATTTACTGTTATGCAATATGTTATCCGGACGTAAACTTGGCTGATCATTTGTGCTTACCTGAGGTTACATGGTGTTTTATATCTAGGAATATTTGGCTGGAGAAATAGAAGCCTCATGAAATGTGGTTCTAAAATTCTTAAACAATTTTCCCCCTCGTTTAGTTAAAAAGGGATGGCAAGTATGTTTCGTATCATGTTAAAAAAAAAGAAAAGAAAAGAAAAGAAAGAATACGAAGGATACTCCATCATGTTTCTTTTATGTAATTATAAATTACACAAAAAGTTCATGGTCAGTTTTAACAGCAGATATTATTCTACAATGGGAGTTTGATTAAATCTTAAATTTGACTAGGGGGTTGAGGATTTCACTGTTCAGTGTCCATCCAATTAAAATGAATATTAATTAATTGCATAAATTCATTGATTCCATGCTATATATCATAATTTTGAAAAGCTTATGCCATATCAATTGTAGTAAGCTATTCATTATCTTATTTCTTCGTAGATGGATTTTCTCTTCTTTCCCTTTACATTTTATGGAATTTGAACCACACGATCGCAACAATTTGCTTGGCACTTTAACTGAAATTAAGTTTGTATTTAGATGGTGTATCCTGTGAAAAAGAGGGCAGCCATTCATTCCCCATTGAGGCTTATTTGCAGAATGCACAACAAGGAGAAAATATTGGTCTTGAATGTCCTTCCTCTATGGAGTGCATTGAACATGTTGCATCCAGCTCAAATATTCCAGGTGTCTCAATGGTTATCAGTCAATCTTCTACGGGTCCTGAATGTTATAAAGTACTATCTGGAAGTGATCATTTACATCCAGCCAAAGCAAGGAAGTTAACGGTAGAACGAGACCCAAAAAAGTATGTTTACCATCTTTTCTGGCTTTTTTCTTCAGATATCAAAGCTTCATTCACAAGTAGTAGCTTAGTTCTGTTCTGGTTGGTTACCTTTTTAGTTTGAGTTGTGTTTTTTGTTTTTGTTTAACTGGTTACTTGTATATTAGAACCAGTTGGAAGTTGTCAACATGAGCATAGCTCAATGGGCTAAGGCATCTATATTGCCCTCGAGAGGTTATAAGACCCCACCCCACGTCATATAACGTATTTCAAAAAATGTATTGAGTTTTAACCATGTAATTGATTTTGGATGGTGACTTCACTTAGGCTTCCTGTATTTTCTTTGACAAGAAATAAAACTTCGGGGTCTCTAATTTATACCTTTCTGTGATGGGATTGTGAATATTCTTTTTAATATTACTAAAGAAAAATAATTATAATGATTCTTATTAAAAAAAAAAAGTCTAGTTTTGATGCAGGAGTTTATATCTGAGAACTTTGATATTATTAGAGGCAAATATTTATCTATTCCATTTTAGTTGGATTGTTACAATTTAGCTTGTAGATTATATCAAGAATTATTATAATTTAGCTTAGATTATGTCAAGAACTATTATTGCCTTACTTGGCTCACCTTGTGCTTTAAAAAGTATTAATTAGATTTTCTGTACAGTGTTTAAAAATCGAAAAGATTTTGGATGGGACCATGACTTAATTCTTTGGTTTAGCAAGAGTCATGATTATTACAAATAAATTTCCTGTCGTTTGGCTTTTGACGTCTTTACACATTCACTATTTCCAGTAGAGTGACTTCAGATAACTTACTCGTTTTGGATTTGTTTAGAATGCTTTAGTTGGAGTGTTTGATTTCTTTTATCACTTTTTTGAATAGTAAACACACAAATGACATGCTTAGGACTCACGAGACATATTGGTGACTCCAAGGACATGTTGAAAACACGTTCTGTAGAGAAAATGAGAAAATTTGTTTAGTATCATTTTAAATAAAAAATTGAAACATCTATATCGAGGCTTTAAATATTTAAATTTCCATAAATTGAATAGATGATAATACAAGTCTATACCTTTAAATCTTTACCTCATATAATTCATTATATTCGAAAACATTGAAATATGTGATGTATGTAAAAGTAATTCTCAAAATATTTTTGTTATTGCATGTGTCTTTGTTGTGTATGCCTTTATATTTAGAAAATGGAGCATTGACATTTTCATATCATATCCATGTTTGCTCTTCCTAGCTTTGCAATCAACGAAATCCAAACTTCAAGTTCATCCTTGAATTCTAGCTCTCTATTTTTATCATCTTTGAGTCTGCCAGTTAATAAGGGTAGCCAATTTATTATGTTATTTCAGCCGCATGCTTTTGCAGAAACGGCAGTTTTACCACTCTCACCGGGTTCAGGTATGAATCTTGATTTACATGTTACTTTTTTCTTTTGTCACAACCAGTTCATGACCGACAACATTGATGTCTTTCAATGATTAAAGTTTACTTAATTAAGAATGAATTATTACATTTTATGTGGGGTGAGATGGGGGTTGGTCCTGTGCTTTTGTACTGTGTTGAGCAGAAGTGGCGGTGGCCTGGGCTGGAAATTTAAATATGCACTTTTACCGTTTATGTGATATCCCACGTTTGTGGGGAGGAGAATGAAACACCCTAAGTGTGTGGACACCTCTCCCTAGCAAACGCGTTTTAAAAAACCTTGAGGAAAAGCCCGAAAGGGAAAGTTCAAAGAGGACAGTATCTTCTAGCTGTGGGCTTGGACTATTACCGTTTAAATTAATGATCAAGTTACAGAGATCTGTAAGAAATGAAAGTGAACTTACTCTTAGAAGAATAGTCCAATCAACTTGTTAGTAAAAGGTGAAAAGTGCCTGCTCATTGCCGAGTTTGGATCATTAGTATTTTTATTTCTTTGTTTTCAGTCCTACGGTTGTATAATTTTTTAACATTTAGTAGTCAAAACAAATATAAGATGTTTATATTAGGCATATTATCAACGTGGGATTAATTTGTTCTAAATAGTTTTGGACAAGTAGTTATAGGCTCAGTACATGAACTTTCCAGGTTGCTGTTCTGTTAATTAAAAATTTGAAGTGTAGCTAGAATATTTTAGCTACATCTAAATCTAGTTTGCTTCCATCTTACCCAGCACGCTACCATGCTATTGTCAGCCTTTTTGCCTGGACTGAAATCTGTTGCTTGCTCATCTCTATCTTTTGTTTTGATATTGGAAGCCTATGGCACTAGATAAAGTATTATCCGACAAAGATAGTGAGGATGAAGTGGATGATGACATTGCAGATTTTGAAGACCGAAGGGTATGGTTTTCTTTGAACTACTAAATATTTGACTTGTTCCTGCTGGGAATCTTTTAGAAGGAATTTTTTTTCATACGAATTTTTCATCGATCGATCGTGACCATATCGTTTCCTATACCTAATTTATCGTATCACAATATATCATATCATAAATATGTCCATTTATCACACATTTCGTACTGTAACATATATCATATTGTAAACACTTCGTAGTCATATCGTTTCCATATGCATACCCTAAATCATATTGTTTCCATATGCATACCCTAAATCATATCGTTTCATGAACGTATCCTAGTCATACCGAATTGATTTTTCGAACTAGCAATATTGAATATTTTGGTTCGGTACGTGATTACAATCCTATGTGCTACTCTGTTTGGACTGGTTAAATTCACTTTTTTGGAATTTGTGCAAACTTAAAATACTAACTCGAGCTGTTAATTTTCAGATGCTCGATGATTTCGTGGATGTGACCAAAGATGAAAAACGGCTTATGCATCTATGGAACTCCTTTGTTCGAAAGCAAAGGTTGTTCCTTGCCAACCTTAATTTTCTTATTTTTCATTACCTTCTTTCTCTATAATGTTTAATTCTAATTTAACATTGCACCGAACTGAGCTGCACCCTAAATAATACTTGCCTGGCGGTCTTACAATCCCTATTATAAAAAATCACATTATTTTCTGTGTACCAGGGTGCTAGCTGATGGTCACGTTCCTTGGGCATGTGAAGCATTCTCAAAACTTCACGGCAAAGAACTTGTCTCATCTCCGGCTCTCTTTTGGTAATGTTCTCGCACAATTTTAGCATATTTCCGTGGCTGGTTTAGATTCCGGCGGCACTGCATTTTGATATAGGTTGTGATGTTATTGATTATTAGTTTCTTTATTTTTGGATAAGGTGCTAAACTTTCATCGAGTAAAATGAAAAAAAAAAAAAAAAATACAAGGTATAAAAAACAACCCCATACGAAAGGAGAAAAACTAATACATAAATGGGTTTTAGTCTAGCAAAATGACACCTAAAGGGTAACTACAAAACCGATCTCAACAACTAAAGGCCAGAAAGTGATATAAAACCTAACAAACCCAAAGATTGCCAAACTGTCAAGTAATGTTGCAAGTCTAGAGATAATCTAAATACTAGGTTAACTGTATATCTAAAGATACTAAATAACTAAATTTAAATAATAATGTCTAAATATAAATAAATATCTAGGTAACTAATTGAAATAAATCCAACTAGGTAAATTATGGGTAAATTAGGGAGGTCAACTATTTCTCTTATTTAATGGAATTACACACAAATATCCTTCTATCTTCTATGGTAAGCGATGGAGGTTTTTTAAATTAATCGGTTCTCGAAGAGGAGTGGGCATGAAAGAGGTGTGAAATGCCCATTGAAGTGCTCCAAAAGGAGTGAGCACAAGAGAGGCAAACAACGCTTGTGGGAAGTTCTCCAAGGGGATGGTATACTTTCATGGTTTCAACTAACGAATGTGCTAACAAAGAACTTCATAGCTATCGATAATTTATTCAGAGCCTTCATAACTATAATTGAAAATTTTATTCGAAGCCTTCATAGCTACCGTTGACAAATTTATTTGGAACCTTCATAAATACCGTTGACAAATTTATTCGGAGCCTTCATAGCTACCATTTGCAAATTTATTTAGAGCCTTCATAGCTACCGATGAAGTTGTGTTATCCAAGTCGTGCAATCAGTATTGCACATAAACCTATCCAGTCCAACCTGAAAATGAACGATATCTATTACTTACCTTGAGGGGGTGTTGAAGGATATTTGTGTAATTCCTATTTAGAAGTAGTTGACCTCCCTAATTTATATTTACTTAGATTTAGTTGCCTATGTAGTATTTATGGATTACTATTTAAATTTAGTTATCTAGTATCTAGGGATTTTTATTGAGATGTAATGATATTTAGATTATTTAGATTAGATTAGATTAAGATCTAGTTATCATTTCTCCCTTATCATATGTAATTCTCTAAAAATTTATAAGAAAAAGAGTCATCTAATGTATACTTGCAACAATAATAATGTTCCTTCATTATTAGTTGTGTTATTGGCTCTAACAAGGCGAAAGAGAGCCTAATAATAATGTTTGCTCATTATTAGTTGTTTTGTTGGCCGATGCACTATCTTTGGTGTATAGTGTGTATATGTATGCATATAATTCAAACTTCGTTAGATGATCAACTTCCCGAAACAAAGGTACAATATCCAGTGGTTCATTTTCCATCCATTTTAAAGCGAAGCCAATCAGAACAGGAGTAGATTGTTGTTTTCTTCAAGTCGAAATCTCTTTTATGTCAATTTTAGGTATCTTAGTATCTTATAGACAACGTGCTTATTTTCTTCTATAAATTATGGTGGGAGTGGAAAGTTGTAGCCTTTGAGTAAAGAGTCAGACCCCTTGAAAGACAAGAATTTTGCAACTTCTCCTATGCATACAAATACACTATAGTGATATGGGTCTGGTAGATAAGTTCATAACTAATTTACAAAGCTTTGATAAGTTCATAACTAATTTACAAAGCTTTGATAAGTTCATAGACTAATTTACAAAGCTTTCTGCAAAGCAATATTTTTTCTTTTTCCCTAACGAGGAACAATGCTTTCATTAAGAAAGGAAAATGAAAGATTACATGTTAGGTTCTATGTAAGTGAGATAAATAAGCTTTCCAATTAATCTTTGACGCTGCTCTTTATTAACATTTGTGTTTTTATTATTTGGATTCGGATGTGGTCAACAATTGTGGGGGTGGGGATTGAACCATCGACCTTTAAAATGGTAATTGGTGTCTTATTTATTGAGTTGTGCTGGGATGGACGGTAATTGATTCAAAGAGTAATTTTGGAAACTTTTGATCCCTTAATATTTTTCCGGCTGGAATTTGAAAGCAAGTTTAATCAGAGAATTTATGGGCCTTAATGTCAGTTTAAAGCTTGAAAATTGTGTTTACCAAATGAAAAACATGGAACCACAGGTCCTATTATCAGTTTATTGATTTTGCAGCCATTTGGAAGTTTAAGTTCAAGACTAAACTTTTTTCTCCATGTATCTTCTGATATGGACATATAGCTTATGGGTTCTTTCCTCTTTAATTTGAATAATTTGAAAATGCACTAGAAATACTTCCTTTGTATGAGTATCAGTTCATCCCACTCATGATTAGAGGAGTCGCGGAACGAACCGATTTGGATTCGAGTTTTCAAATTCGGCACTCTTTGGCTAAAAAAATTATCCTCCTGAATCACTTGGACTCAACAATTTATATGCTTGACCTCACTAAATTTGGCAGGTGTTGGAGGTTTTTCATGATCAAACTCTGGAATCATGGTCTTCTTGATCCTTCTACCATGAACAACTGTAATTTAACTCTTGAAGGATTCAAAGATGAGAGTTTTGATGCAACGGAGAATGGGAGAAGAGAGATTGATTAACAGGCTACTTCAGTTAACATTCTTGATCTGCTTCATTAGCTAATCATTTATAGGTTGGAGTTACTTCCTTTTACATTCATTATTCATATAGGTTCCCTTCTTCACAAACCTCAATTGAATGAAGAAAGAGCCTCCCCATGTTCTTTTTCTAAATTTTTGCCACTTCCTCTACTTTATATATAACTCTTATTCTCTTGTACTTTTCTTTCTTAATTGAAAGATATTGCATATATTATAGGATGAAATATAAAAAATATACTCCAACTTTGCTTCTAATTTTAAAAATATGTTTCAATTAATGTCGAATGAAAAGTCGACATGTTTAGATGTTGTTTTAGACTTAATCCAGACAAAGTATTTTAGTCACCGTCATTTTAGGTCATTAAGATTGATTTTTTGTCCAACATTATAGCAGATTTTTCACGAATTTTAAAATATTTAAGTTAATGATAATATTGCAATTTTTTAAATAATTTATTTATTTTTAACAAGAGGGAAAGTTGAAAGGTTTTTTTTTTTTCTTTTTTTCTTATTAATTTAAACTATATTACATCAGATAAAATAATATGAAATCAAGAAGTAAATATATAAATGGGGTTAAATTACAAATTTAATCCATACTTTTAGAATCGTGTCAAATGTACCTTTAAACTTTGAGAAGCATCTGAGAGTTGAATTTTAAAAAGTACCTATTGATTTCACTCCCCGTTTAATAATCTATAAACTTTAAAATTAGTATTGATATATATATTTTTTAATTTATAAGTTTATTGGACAAAAATGTAATGTTTTAGATAAAATTATTTTATAAATTTAGCACAAATTAAAAGTTTAGAGGATTTGAACCTACGACCATTTAGTTAACAATGCTCTATCACCGAGCTATTGAGGATCAACAGTAAATTAAGTTTCAAAGAATTCAATTCCCGTTTTCAACCTATAACTAATATGAGTTCGAGGTTTCCTTCATGACTCTCGGAACTTTGTAGTGGCTCCATTCCATGACTCATTTTATAGACAACCTCAAAGTGGTTCTATTTCATTATATTCCATCCATAATCCTCCTCAAAAAGTAACAAAAAGTAAGAAATTCCGCATATTTTGACCAAGGGACTAAATTTATAATTAAAACATAAAATTATTTGTAAAAATAAAATAAAATAAAATATATTATAAAAATTTCGTTAAAATTAACCTAACACAAGTATTTAAAAAAATTTCATTTTTCTTAAGAGAGTTAATTAAAGTTGTTATTTCCATAAAATGAAATAAAATATTAAAGAATTATGAGTTTTTGAAATCCCAAATAATTAACTAAATTTATACTTAAATGTATTAAAAATTATTAGTTATGCATTTAATTCTAAAAAAAAAAAAAAAAAGATAAATACATTCTTTTTTATTAAAAAAAGAAAAGAAGAAGAAGAAGAAGAAGAAGATAAAGTCTCTTTTATCATATCATCTTAATCTAAATTTTTAAAAAAATGATATCTCAAAATGATTTAATATTCCAAAACTAAAATTCAAAATGTTTTGATCCAATCCGTTCCGTCTCATTTTCCCATCTTCTCTCTCTTCTTCGCCGTCCAACGAATGGGAGCATTCAGAGTTCTGAGCAGGAAGCTCATCAACCTCAGCCGTCATTCACTGCAGAATCTTCCGATTCCGGCCAAACATCTCGCTCATCCATTTCCAACCTCCAACTTGTCCGATGGCTTCAAATCGTTCTCACATCCATGGCAGTATTCTCATTGCAGAACTCTTATTTTGGAGTCAGTTTCTTCTGAACCGGTCCGGCTTCACCGACTTTCCGACTCCGATTCTGGTAGTTTCTGAGCTGAGGTTATGAAAACCTTTCTTCAATTTTATGTGCTTAAGTTATTTCGATTGCTGATGTTTTAGGCTTTTGTTGTGACTGTCGCGATTTTGCTAGTTTATGGTTTGGTGATTAAGTGATATTCCCTTGCATTTTGGTTTGAGAGGAGAGGAGCAATTGTGTACTCGTTGCTTACTTTAAGGGGATGATTATGCTCGTGATTAAATGATTCCTTATCCTTGTTTCGATGGGTACTTTCTTGATGATTTGATTGTCTACAACATAACTCGTTAGAGGGTGTTTGCATTAACTTATTATACGATTTTGAGGCCAAAAATGTTCTTTAGGAGTTTAGATTGTACGGCAACAATTATCTTTTAACTAATCAAATTGATTTTAAATCATTTCTTTTTTGTAAGAAACACCCTAAAGTTGTTAAATCAATAAGTGATTTATCGAAGATCACTTTAAATTTTATGTTAATTGTCGTTGTAGAATCATTTTTAGATGTAGTGCAGCGAATTGGTATTTGAAGAATCATTTTTAGATGTAGCACAACCGAATAGACTTGTGATTGAAATCATTATTCTGAAAGGTAATCAAACACCCAAAGATTTTAAGGAAAACTGTTTTTATCGAAGTTGTTCCAAGAGAATATTAAATTATATAGTATGCCAAACTCACCCCAATAATTTTTTATAAATGGTTACGCACTCTTCATGCATAAACTATACAAATTCTCAGAACTTTTTCCAGAAAAGAGGGTGTTGATCAAGTGGTATTTCACAACATTATGGAACTTTCTTTTCTTCTTCTTCTTTTGTTTTGGTTCTTGAGTCCTTTAAAATGTTCTTTATGCTTTTACTAGGGTGGCTTAAACTTTCATTGGTTCCTTTTTTCTTCATCAATAATGCTATCTATGATCATTTCCTTTTATGTTTCTTGAATTTTTTTTGGGGTTGCTTGCGTTACATTTGAACGGAAATCCACTTGGGTTTATCGATGACAGGAATTGTCGAGGTTCATTTAGACCGGCCTGAGGCGAAAAATGCCATTAGCAAGGAAATGCTGAGGGGATTGTGTCACGCCTTTGAATCTGTTGATTGTGATCCATCTGTCAATGTTATGATGATCCGCAGCTCTGTCCCAAAGGTTTTCTGTGCAGGTGCCGATTTGAAGGTATTCTTGTTTTTCCAGCTGGTTTATATGGAGCAATTTGGTACAATCTTCAACAACTTGGCTCTCTCAGTATGACATGGTCTTTAAATTCTTCCCCCTTCAATGCATTCTTTTAAGTGCAGGAGCGTAAGAATATGACAGCATCAGAAGTGCAATCCTTTGTCACCTCACTGCGGTCTGCATTCTCATTTTTAGAGGTAGATTATTATTATATACCTACCTACTTGCTTTGAAATTCTATGATTGATTCGTATAATATTTGAACAAAGATGTCTTGTCAAGTATATAATGCATCAGTTAGATGCACATAAGTTATTATCAAATATTCAGACCATTGAACTTTTGTGGCTGATGCTAGTATCCTTACTCATCACTTAGGATATGTTATTAGATTCTTCCGTGGCTTAGAGATATGATTCATAATGATTCCACAAATAAATATAGGCATTATACTTGATTTTTTTTTTCCTAAATACTTCAAATGGCATTTTTTAGAGTTTTATTTAATTGTCAATGGATGGCAATGTGATGTGAGATCCCACATCGTTTGGAGATGGGAACGAAGCATACCTTATAAGGGTGTGGAAGCATTTTCTTAGTAGACGCGTTTTAAAACCGTGAATCTAACAACGATACGTAACGGGCTAAAGCGGACAATGTCTGCTAGTGTGGCCTCAGGCTATTACAAATACTATTAGAGCTAGTCACTGGACAGTGCAATGCACTGGTTGAAGTAGGGCTAGACCCTCTTCATAGTAGATGCGTTTTAGAATTGTGAGGCTGACAACGATATGTAATGGGTCTAAAGCGGACAATATCTACTAGCAGTGGGCTTGGGATGTTACAAATGGTACCAGAGTCAGACACCGGGCGGTGTGCTAGCTAGGAAGTTGACTCTCAAAAGGGGTGGATTGTGGGATCCACATCGGTTGGAGAGGGGAACGAAGCATTCCTCATGAGGGTGTGGAAACTTCTTCCTAGTAGATGCGTTTTAAAACCGTGAAACTGACAGTGATACGTAACGGGCCAAAACGAAATATATCGGCTAACAGTGGGCTTGAGCTGTTATAGGCAAAGTCTACAATATGCTCACATGTTTAAGGAGCTCTATTTTTTTTAACGTGATTAACTTAATAATTTGTCAATGTTAAGAATGCAATACTTATCTTTCTCGATCAAATCTTGTTTCAACTTTCACCTTCTTTGAAATATGTTTACGTTTGTTTTCCAGGTTCTTTTGTCAGCTGACATGATCTAAATTTATTTTATACAGGCACTTCGTATTCCTACCATTTCAGTAATTGAAGGCGCAGCACTGGGTGGCGGACTTGAAATGGCGCTGGCATGTGATCTTCGGATATGTGGTAATTAGTTTATTCGATTATTTTGTAGTTAATTAAATTATTACCGCAACTCTTGCTATATTGGATGGTCTAGTTATTGTAACTCAAATTGTTAAACCATAATCCAGGGGAAGATGCCAAACTCAGTTTGCCAGAAACCGGACTTGCTATCATTCCTGGGTATGTAGTAAATCCTTCCGTGTATATGGTCACAGATGAAGTTTGGTAGCTCACTTGAGAATAGTAGAAAGAAGCTTACATGAAAATTAAAGTTTGATGGCTCTATAACTTAGTATAAATATTAAAGTGTTGATGGTGGAAGCTGAATGATATCCTTCTCAATAATATTTGTAGAACCCCTCCTCCTCTGTACACCGCTAGCAGATATGGTCATCTTTGGGCTTTCCCTTTCGGGCTTCCTTCAAAGTTTTTAAAATGCGTCTGCTAGGGAGAAGTTTTCACACCCTTATAAAGAATACTTCGTTCTCCTCCCAACCGATGTGGGATCTCACATCCTCATTCTCTTCTCAATTATAATATTAAAGTGTTCATATTAATATGTGGTATTAACATGAATGTTCTCGAGTATGTACGAAGAGATTACACGTTCTGAACGTGTTTTTTGCAGGGCAGGTGGGACTGCAAGGCTTCCTAGGCTGGTTGGGAAATCAATTGCAAAGGAACTTATATTTACTGGCCGTAAGGTCAGTGGCAGAGATGCTATATCTATAGGTAAGATCGCTAATATCTTTATTTTTTAGCATCATTTCATTGTTTTGTTAAGGAGAAAAAACATAAAAGTTCATGCTTTAGGTCTTGTCAATTACTGCGTC